GATTACACACATATTGGCTACCTCTTTTGATTTTATCTTATTTAGGGGAAAAAAAATAATAATTGAATTTATTTTGATTTCAATGGCTTATTAATCTTCTCTTATCTGTTCCCCAACACTCAAGCAAGTGATGGTCACAATTCAGTCACAAATGGATGGTTTATTATAAGTGCAAGCAAAACTTGATGCTAAAGCTACCTAGTTAGCTAGAGTTTTTATAGAAATAAACTAATTATTGTACATATAAATATAGGACCCCAATCACCCCATCATCCATACTTATGGGTTTTCATTTTTTTTATTTTTTTTCGTACGTGAAAATTAAGATCTACAACATTCAGATCACAAATTTTTGTGGGAGACCACCTAACCGTTAAAAAGGGAAGACATGTCAACATTTGTAATAAAAATACATAGTTATGAAATTATTATATATATATATATATATTGAATATGTATAATTTCTTAAATGTTATGTATGCTTAACAATATTTACACGGTGTATACGAATTTTCATACTTGTGTATTTCCAAATTACATTTTACAAGAAAAAAAATAAATATAAAAAGTGGGGTACATATATAGTAGGCAAACATTGATGGATTTGTGTAGCATAGAGAATTATGAGCTCTTTTTTTTTTTTTTTTTTTTTTNTGTGTGTGTAAGGAATTTGGTGGGAAATGTTGTACAAAAATAATTTCATACCCTTTATAACAGTGACAAAATTGAGCAAAAAATTCTTACATAAATATAGTTGTAATAATAATATTAAATGTTTCATTGACATCTCACCAGAAAGAATTAGGTGCACATTAATTACTCCTTCTATGGTACGTACATTTCTGAACGCACCACATAACTATTTCTAAATTTGAGCAAATTTTGTAAGTCTGATCAGGTTCATAATTTCATAGGTAAATGTACATAATTTCATTTATAAAAATATAACACAACAAATTAAAAGTAGTTCTTATGTTAACCTTACTTATAGCTAGGGTTTTCTCTATTGAAACACATCAATAGAAAATAAACATATTATATTTTGGGGAGACGCTACAATCTAATTACGAAATCATTTCGTCGGGCTTCGTAACCGTTAGATCAACTATCCCCGACGGTTACATGATGATCTAACAGTTACAAAACCTAACGGAATGGCTCCGTATAACATTTCTCTATATTTTGGGCTTGTGTTAATTAGGTCGGCCTAAATAATCATTATATATGACAACATACATTTTTTTACAAATATGCGTTATTTTAATTAAAAAATATCATACTTTAAAAATAAAATTAAATAAAAATACGAGACTTTATAGTATATATACGAGTACATTTTTATTTAAATAATATCACGGGTCTATATGCTTTACGATTAATCACCTCACACAATAATGTTGGGTTGGTTAGAAGTAGAGTTGACCTCGTGAAAGTTAAAATAATTAGATGAAAATACGACAATTGTGTGTAGACTATATATATATGTAATATGAGTTGCCTAATACAGAGGTCATAATATTACACTTTTCAACCATTTTAATTAACTTCGTACCGTCATTTGTCACTAGAGTTTTAAAAGCTCAATTTAGGGTTTTGATGGATTGCCTAATAAAGCCGACGTTATTACTCTATATTTTCAGGTTGAATTTGAAAGCTCAATTAAGTGGAAAGATTGATTAAATATATTGAATAGGGAATTTTTTTATTTTTTTAACCTCCCAAAGTATGGTCGATTTTAGAGTTTGTCTTACGAATTTTTTTTTTTTTCTTGACAATTTGCCTCTCATAGTAATCTAAATTGACAAATTGCCATTTCGATTGAAAACTCCAATCTATATATATATAATTACTGGCTAATGAGCATTTAATAAAACCTATTAAATTATACCTAGGTGGCAATATAATTTTTTCCCTCCAAAAACCGTTACTTTTTATTCATTTAACATCTCATTTAATTATTAGGTAATCAATACACTAATTACTTTAAAATTACAAAAATCATTTTAAATTTTCTAATTACTTGCAGTTGACCATATAATGTGTTGACTATTTAATGTGAGTAGATGTTATTGTTGTGGTTACATTTAAATTAACTTCTTTCGAAAAATTAAAAACATATTTGAAATTCCTAAATAAATAATATGTAATTCACAAAAAAAAAAATACATACCAAAATATACATTATATCCAATATGATAAACGCAATTTAAAAAATTTAAATATTTCAGCTCCTTTAATTGTAAATTTAACAAAAATTATTAATCATTATATGTATATAAATAACTTATAATATTTTATTTATATATTTGTGCAAATGCACAAGTTGAATACTAGTATGACATAAAAAGTTTTTACCTCAATTAATGATAAAATTTATACTGATTTTTAAAATGGATTTATGACGTTTAAAGCCCGTGGCGAGACGAACACAACGAGGTATGATTTGTCAATTTTTGAAAATTGATACATCTGTAATCGATAGATAAATATAGGAGGAGCACGTGTGTATAGAAAAATTTGCAATTCAAGTTTTTTTGATAATCAAGGTATCTTATTTTCGATTAGAGGTGTCATTTTAAAGCTTGTAGAACCAATTTTCTAACGAGTAAATCTTATGAAAATCCAAAAGTCGAATTTTGATCAGTAGTTAGAAAACTATTGATCAATAGTTAATTTTTTTTTAGGCTACTAAAAAAAATTCGACCGTTGAATTTTCATAAGATTTACTTCTTTAGAAACTCGTCCTCCAAGCTTTTAAATGACACATCTCTATCGAAAATAGGATATCTTGATTATCAGAAAACTTGAATTGAAACTTTTCTATATACATACATGCTCCTATTATCTTCGTCAATCGATTACAAATGTATCAATTTTCAAAAATCGACAAACCATACCTCGTTTTGTTCATCTCGCCATGGGCTTTAAAATCCCAAAATCAATTTTAAATATCAATTTAAATTTATTTGAGTTTAAAAAAAAAAATAGTGTCATATTAGTGTTTTCAATCGATGAGATAAATTGTCAGTTTCGATTACTATGAGAGAAAAACTGTCAAGAAAAAAAATTCGTAAGACAAACTCTAAAATCGACCATACTTTTAAGAGGTTAAAATATTTTTCCCTATTTAATGTTAGGTCTTAGTCGGCTCCAACTCAATGAAATGGCCCTACAATTAAATTGTTTATTAGCATTGAAAAATAAGTAAGAAAAAAATATCTTGTGAATATTGAGATGAAATTATTAAGGGTTAACAAGTCTAAATTCATCTATAGATTGAGGGACATTTTTGGCTTTTTATTTTAGCAACTGATATCAACTGCAAATATTTGTTGCTACACATTTGTTATGGCCTTAATTTGCCATTAATTCTTTGAAAAAAAAAGTCAAGACCATTTTCTCATGCTACAATTCGATATCCGACTAAATAAGTCAAAAACATTAAATTTTGTACAAATAATATGATATATGCAAATTCGAATGGTAATTTTATATTAAGTTTGAATAATAAGGTCAACAAAAATTATATCCCTTATTTTGTTGGTTATTGAATGTTTGGGCCATTTGGAGTGGAATAATGTGGCTAAAATTGAGATTGTTAGCCTAACTGGCCCCAGAATCACCTTGAGTGCCCAGATATGTAAACCAAAATTTCAAATTTTGGTGGACCCTTATTGTCCCCAGGCCCAATAGAAAATTATGAGTCCACACATAAATCCTTTTTAGTTGTACATTTATGATTTTTTTTTATTTTTATTTTTTTTAAAAAAAATTATCAACATACAAATTTTTATTGTTTATAAATGTTGCTATAGGTTTATTTTTTCCACTGGTTTCTAAATTGCAGCATTTTTTATTTATTTATTTATTTTTATTTTTAATTTATGACTGATTTATGACTCGTTTTATGAACAATTTATGTTTGATTTTATTTGGAATAGTGAAATATTATAATAAAAGAAAATAAAAAAAAAAAAA